TTATCTTGGCGCCCTCCCCCCACCATTCTGGGCCACACACAGATGCTATATCCATCTGGTACGGGGAAGAAAACAAGAACCTGACCGACTACAGCAATCAATCCAGAGGCTTAGGAGAGCAGAGGAAAGCAGGTGTGGTAGAAGGCAGCGGAAGGAATTTGAAAAGCAACAAGGTCCTTGGAAGAGGTAAAGAAAGAAAAAAGAAGGAAGGAGAGAAGGAAGGAAGGAAGGGAAGAAGGGAAAAAAGAAAACCAGGTAGGCTTTCCAAGGCCACTTGCTCCCCCAAGGAACACCAGCCAACAAGATCCATTTGCCACAAATGACAGGACTTCATCGTAATAAAGCTGCTGCTGGTTCATGACATAATCGGGACATGATGTGTGACTTGTAACACACACATTTCCCCATTATGAGCCAGAATGTTATGGAGCTGCCATCCTGGAGTACAAAACAGTAACCGACATTTGCTAATGTGTGTAAGAACTGCAGGAACAAAACCAGAGAGGAGCCTGAGCAAAAGGAGGTCTAGTAACGTGCCCAAATTGAGATCCATCTCAATGGGGGGCCCCAAGGTCTGACACTATTACTGATGCTATAGTCTGCTTACAAACAGAGGCCTGTCATGATTGACTCCCAATAAGCAGCTGAAAGAAGAAGATGCAGATGTTTCCACCAATCAATGGACTGTTAACCCCTGTGGCTGAATTAGGGGAATGCTGGAAGACATTGAGGAGAGGGAGACTCTAGAGGATGACCAGCAGTCTGAACTAGCCTATAAGCCCTGGGATCTCTCAGACCCTGAGCCAACCAGGTAGCATAAACCACCTAGTATACAGTAGAGGGCTACTGAGTCTGGACTCAGAAAAGATACAGGTGACCCTCCAGAAACTTGGGGCCCCAGGGAGTGGGAGGGCCTGGTGTGGTGGGGATTGTGCATGGGGACATCTTGGAGACTGGGGGAGGAGGAGTAGGATGAGGAAGAGTTGGAGGGTGGATCAGGAGGGGTATAAAATCTGGATTGTAAAAAAAGATTAAACAAGATCCATTTGCCACACTGGTCAGGTACAATGTTCAGGGAGTTGGAAAGCTAGAAGGTGCCACAAACCAAATCAGCCCCACAACCAACTCATTCCAGAGGCTGCACTGCCGAGCTGTTGCTGACTTTTGTGTATGTCCAGATGTCCTCAGCAGATGCAACAAAAGTCATCCAACTACGAGCCCTTACAATGGAGTCCCAGCCAAATCTGCTGAGTGCTAACTAGGTACCAAGCAGCACTGTTCCCAGTGCTTGTCAAGAACTCATTACTCAGTACTCAAACTACCACCATTTGCTAGGCACTCCATTATTCTACATGGGGAAACTGAGGCACAGAGTACAAAAGTAACCCATCTTAGCTGAAGAGCCAGCTTCTGAACACAGGACACAGAGGGACTTAACTCTGAGCAGTCACCTATGAAACTGACTTGAGTTTTCCAATTAGACATGAAATTGGTACTTTTCTTATTCTTTCTTTATGTTTGTTTGTGGATGTCAGGGAATTGAGCATGGGGCCTCACACGTGCTAGGCAAGTGTTGTACCGTAGATCTAAACCTCCAGTCCTTTTTTACATGTGATTTTAAAACAAGGTCTTTATCAATTACCCAGGTTGGCCTTGAACCCATGGTCTTCCTGCTTCAGCTCCTTCAGTGGCCAGGATGACAGGCCTGCTCCAGGTTAACAAATATTTTCTATTTTTCTAATTTACTGTGTGTGAAAGTATGTGTATGTGGGATATATACACGTGTGTACACATGTGCAAGAGCACACATACCAATGTATAGGCCAAAAGAGCGTGCCAGGCGTCTCCACTATCATTCTTCATATTTCCTTGAGTCAGGGCCTCTCACTGAACCTGGTTCTTTTGGTAAGCTAGCTGACAAGTCTTTCTCCACCCCTCAATCCTACGGTTATAGACAGAGCCAGGGCTGGCTGTTTACATGGGTACTGGGATTCAAACTTAGGTCTCCTGTTTACACACCAAGCACTCTTGCTCACTCAGCCATCTCCACATACTTTTTTTTTTTAAGGAACTTACAAAAAAGGCCCAGGCCCCTTTTCCCAACCTTCTTTCAAAGATCAGCCACAAAACCACCTACCTCTTACCAGTTTCCCACTCCCACTGAATAAAGCAAGCCACTGCCGGCTCTTAGCACCAACTTTCCACTTAGATAACACTGGTTCTCTTCTTATCCCAGACCTTTGCCTAAGGAAGGTTGTTAAGTTCCTAGCCCAGGAGCAAGACTCTGAGGGTCCTTAATGGATAGAATCTTGACTTCTCTAAGCATAATGTTGGTCCTAAAAGGATCCAAGTATCAGGAGCAAAAAGACAGTAGCCCATTCCCACAAGGAGAGGGAGAATGAGACCCAGAGAATGACCAGGAAGTAAAAATACAAAGTGCATCAATCTCTGTGAGTCCTTATGAGCTCTGCTTCGTTGATTCTGTGGGCTGTGCTTTCCTAGTGTCCTCACACCAGGCTCCTATGATCCTTCCTCCCCGCCTTCGGCGGTTCCTCAGATTCCACCTAATATCTGGCTGTAAGTCTCTACATCCGCTCCCGTCTGAAGGGAAGCAGAAGAGCAGGGGATCTGGGGAAGAGGGGATGTAAAGGGAGGAACTAGGAAGGGAGGAGGGAGGGGAAACTGAGGTTGGGATATAACATATAAGAGAAGAAAGAAAATACAAAGCACTGTGCAGGCTAAGCCACTCACACTAATAAACCCATGGCCACAGCCCAGAAGGCTGGGAAGCCTACCCCATACTCTTATTCTACATATAAACTGAGCACAGTGAGCAGTGAAACAACTCAAGACAATGAAGTTTAACATGGAGGGGGGGCGGGGGGGATGGATACGCTGGTGCAACACCTAGCCTTGGAAGACACAAGCCACCTGCTTTAGTTTATTGTCTTTTGAAACACAGCCTCACTCTAGCACAGCTGCCCAGAAACTCAATTCTCCTGCCTCAGCTTCCCCAGTGCTGTGATTACAGATATGTGCATACCAAGCCAAGCAACTCATTGTTTGTGTTTGGATTCTCTAGCTACACAGAAATTCTTGCTTGCCAATGGCCCTCCCACCCACTCTGGTTCCAGGACTCCAGAAATGGAGTGTCCAGCAAGCCTAGACCAGTGAGAGGAGGGGCGCTAGGAAGTCTACAAGATGAAACTTTAGGGAGGATGGGAAGCTGCCTAAGGTGAAGGCCAGCAACCACTACTGCCAAACACAATTCATCCACCTTAATTTTCTGTGGGAAAAAGTCCCAAGTAGGAAAGAACACAAAGCCAGTTTTCTTGGGTAGGCTTCTTAGCATATTAGAAGCTAGAGAATACCCCCAACACTTCTTACACATCACTGCCCAACAGTAAAATACATCCTGATGTGGGCTGGCAAGAGGTTTGCCATCAAGCTCGGTGACCTGAGTTCAACCCTCGGAACCCACATGGTGGAAGGAGAGTTCCACAAGAGTCTGACTTCCACATGTGCCATGGTTTGCATGCTCTCTCTCATTCACACACACATACACACTATATGGGCCTTCAGAGGTCACCATTCCTAAGGCAGCCTATCAGGGAGGTACCAAAAAACAGAGCACATACTTCATGTGTGTATATGTGTATTATGTATATGCAAAACTAAAATACAAACTGGTAGAGAATCTAATGTCTACTTTCCCTCCACCACAAGAGAAGAAAATAATGCAGGAAATACAGTAGCATCCATGTTAGAGTGAGCCAGATTCCACTGAGTCCTTGCAAAATAATTTTGTTGTCTCCACACTTGGTACAAGAGTAGAGGGCACACAGGTATTCCTTTGTGGCAAACAGGCACCAATCTCTTGCAGACGCCTGAATGCAAATTACAAGCTCTGTTTCCAGCTCTAGAGAAACCTCCAGCCTCTTGGCTTTAAAATGAGAGTCATATATCCAAGTATGGTAAGTTTCTCCACCAAAACTAGCACCCTCCTCACCCAAAAATCTCCCAGTGGGCCTTCAGAGGTCACCATTCCTAATGCAGTCTATCAGGGAGGTACCGCAAAACAGAGCAAATACTTTTGGGCGCTAATCATCAGCTGCTAAGAAACAGGGATGTTTTTCCTGTTTCTCAAACAAAAAGAAAAGTCATTGTGTCCAGGGTTTCCTATTGTATTCACTAATAATCAGGACAGTACGATACAGGAGTGTTCTGGAACAACAGGCAAATCGCATTACAGGAACACGAAATACACAAGCACTAGGGATTACAGCAGTCAGCCCATGCACTCAGCCTAGGATCTTTTCAGAAGAAAGCTACCTAGAGAGGGCCTGAAGCCCCCCCCCCGCCCCCCCCCCCCGCACGTTCCCAGAGTCCCCAGTCTCACTGATTCACAGAGTAAAAGGCACTCTCCTGGTTATCAGAGTCCCGGGCATTTTCCACTGCACCCCAAACCTACAACAAGGGACAGAAAGGACCCTCTACTCTATCTTAGCTTTTCCTTGTTTCCTTAAACTTCCCTGATATAGCATTTAGGCAGAAAGGAAAGATGAGAAAAACAATATGAAACCAGAGTAAAGGTAAGACAAACGGGAGGTAAAACAAACGGTGGGGAACCCCAACACAAGCGATGGCAAGTCCCTTTCAAGACTCTTGAGCTCCTGCACAGTGCTCTGTGTTAGTGTGTGCCTGGTAAACGGGGATCCTACCCCCACAAAAGGCGGAAAACCCCTAATTTGCTGCCTCCAGATCTGGCGTCCTCTCCCGATGGCAGAACCCCAAAGCACAGAGGCACCTCCTCGCACACACTCAGCTCTCCCGGAACCGGGTCCCCAGAGTCTGAGAGCGGCGGCTGCGCCGAGGCCCGGGTGGCGAATCTCCACGTCTGCAGAGCGGGACTCGGGCTGGGAAGCAGCTGGGTCCACGCGTCCCAGCGTCCCCCGGGCCCCCGGCCGCCCCGCGCCGTCCCCCGCGGCCCACCACCTTACCCAGAGCGGATCGGAGCCATCAACGCTGCAAAAGCTGCGCAGCGCCATGCGGGCGGCCGGCTGAGCGAGAAGGCGCAGCGCCGCGCGGTTGGCCCGCGTCACCGGGATGCGGCCCCGCCCCGCCCCGCCCCGCCCTGCGCGTGGGAGCCAGCTCCACCACGAGTTGCCCCGGCTTGGGCCTGCAGGCCGCGTCTGCACCTCCCACTCACTGCCAGTTCCTAACGCTGACACGGCCGCGAGGAACCCAGCGCTGGGCCCTCCACGCCCAGCCTTCCTCCCAGGTGATCCTAACTGTACCGCTGTTCCCCTGCTGCGGGAGAACGCTCGGTGCTTGCTTGGTTTTAGGGCTTTTTCCTTCAGTTGCAGCTGGCGGGATAGGGATGCAAGCTTCCAAGAAAGGAAAGGGAAGAGAAGAGGAAACTGAGGCTCAGAAAGGTGAGGAAACTCGCTCAGAGCCCCTCAACGAGTAGAAGTGGAGTTCGTTCGAATCAGGAGCCCTATGATTCCATCCTTAACACTGAGATCTCCATCCTAAACACCAGTTTGCCACCCCTCCTCCATGGTCTGCAAAGCACCCTGGGAATTTCTTCCATTCTGAGCGCAACCAGGAAATAACTCGTTTCCTTATTACTTGGTTTGGATTTAGGGATTTGAGGACAGAGTTTCATATAATAACTAAGTCTGGCCTCTAAAGCACGATGTAATAGAGGATGACCTTAACCTTGTGAACCCCCTGCCTCCATTTTTTTTTAACAGACGGGTTTTTCCGTGCAACACCTGGCTTTCCTGGAACTCTATTTGTAAATCAGGCTGGCCTCAAACTCAGAGATCTACTTGCCTCTGTCTCCCAAGTGCTGGGGTTCAAGGTGTGCACCACCATACCTCCACTTCTTGTTACCCCAACCAACTGGGATGCTGAGAACAGAACCCAGAGCTTCCTTCATGCACAGGAACCACTCTGTCAACTGAGCTATGTATGCCTCTCAAAAAATATTATAATTTTAAAAATAATAAAGTAAATGAGTAAGATAATTTTTGAAGGTCAACCACAAGCTAGGTCCCCCTCAGTCTGAGTAGGGGTTTGGTGGTGGTGGTGGTGGTGGTGGTGGTAGTGATTGTTGTTGTAGTAACAGCATTTACTTCTATGTGTGTTTGTGTGTGGGTGTGTATGTAAATGTGTTGGGTCCTGGAACCAGAGCCTGAACAAAACAAGACTCCTTTCTCTACCCTCCAAGTAGGTCTGACAACAACCCAATCATTGGTCGTCATCTCAGAGTCAAGGACACTGAAGCCTACACATGTAAGGCTACTTAACATTCATGGTTAACTACTCAAGGCTTCATGCTCAACAATGTGCCTAAATTTACACATGAAGTACATAATACAATTCTCCCTATTTTTTCAGGTTAGAGACCAAAACAAGAAAGCCAAAGCAGCTTGTCAAAGATTCACATGGTGAATAACTGAACCTAGCTCTGGAATAAGGCAGTCCTGCTGGGGGTTGGGGGAAAAAATAAATTAATAACATTGACCACTGTGTGAAACTGCCTCAGTACTACTTAAGTAAGATAGAGAAACTGAAAAGCTGGGCCAAGGTCTGGAGTCCAAGCTTTGCAGTGACTTCAGCCCTTCTCAGGTGTCTGCCTAATACACAGCTCCCATTAGGATGCACACAAACAGCTGAGGCAAATAAAAGAATAAAAACTAAGTATGAGCCGGGCGGTGGTGGCGCACGCCTGTAATCCCAGCACTTGGGAGGCAGAGGCAGGCGGATTTCTGAGTTCGAGGCCAGCCTGGTCTACAGAGTGAGTTCCAGGACAGCCAGGGCTACACAGAGAAACCCTGTCTCGAAAAAAAAAAAAAAAGAAGTATGAGACCCCACAAAAACAAAGGTCTTAGTGAGAGAAGAGAGAAGGACACAGGATTTTTCAGGATTTTCCCCCTCATTATGAGGGTTTTGGTGGTAGTCGTGGTGGTGGTGGTAGTAACAGCATTTACTTCTATGTGTGTATGTACTTGTGGCGGTCAAGAGAGCCGGGGAGAATTGTTTCTCTTGGAACCACATGGATTCCAGGGAGCTAACTCAAGTCATCAGGCTTGGCAGGAAGTTCCTTTACCTCTGTGCGTGAGTTTTAAAAAGATAATTACTTTCAGGTGACAGTTCTCTCTCTCTCTCTCTCTCTCTCTCTCTCTTTTTTTTTTTTTTTTTTTGGTTTTTCGAGACAGGATTTCTCTGTGTAGCCCTGGCTGTCCTGGAACTCACTCTGTAGACCAGGCTGGCCTCGAACTCTCGAACTCAGAAATCTGCCTGCCTGCTGGGATTAAAGGCGTGCACCACCACCGCCAGGCACATCAGGTGACAATTCTCAATGCACTGTTACCCATCTTTATTGAGTATCTGCTGTATTCTTACCAGGCCCTAGCAAGCTAGCAGCTGGAGTATGTTCAAATCTGAAAGAAGGTAAAGAGGAGCTGTATTCTCATGTTTTAGTGATAAGGCGGCAGATTTTGTTTGTTTGTTTGTTTGTTTTCGGAGACAGGGTTTCTCTTTATACCCGGGCTGTCCTGGAACTCACTCTGTAGACCAGGCTGGCCTCGAACTCAGAAATCCGCCTGCCTCTGCCTCCCAACTGCTGTGATTTAAGGCATTTGTCACCACTGCCCGACGATCTTTTTTTTTTTTTTTTTAGATTTATTTATTTATTTCATATTGTGAGTACACTGTCGCTCTCTTCAGACATACCAGAAGAGGGCATCAGATCCCATTACATATGGTTGTGAGCCACCATGTGGTTGCTAGGAATTGAACTCAGGACCTCTGGAAGAGCAGCCAGTGCTCTTAACCTATGAGCCATCTCTCCAGCCCAAGGCAGCAGATCTTTTTGGTTGGTTGGTTGGTTGGTTGGTTGGTTTTTCGAGACAGGGTTTCTCTGTGTAGCCCTGGCTGTCCTTGAACTCACTCTGTAGACCAGGCTAGCCTCGAACTCTCGAACTCAGAAATCTGCCTTCCTCTGCCTCCCAAGTGCTGGTATTAAAGGCGTGCGCCACCACCGCCTGGCAAGGCAGCAGATCTTAATCACATACTTTCATAACTGGAAAGTGTGTTTGAAACTGTTGCAAGATCTAGGAAGGGGATAAAGAGGGTCTAAAGGGGGCCAGGCCTGCGAAGTCTAGAAGACTTTCAGGAAGAAAGTTTTTGAGCTAAACACAAGCATACTCAGGATTCCAGCCTGGGCTGTGTCATGAGCTGAAGAAAGCAGCCTAAGAAAACTTTCTTTCCTAAGAAAACTAGGAAGCAGCCAAGACTGGTGGTAAGTGCCCATAATCTCAGTACTTGGGATGCTAAGGAAGGAGGATCTTGAGTTCAAGGCCAGCCAGGACTACATGAGACCCTGACACAAAACAAAGAACAAAGCAGTTCTGGTGACACAGCTTAGCTGGGTAAGTGCTGCTGCACAAACCTGAGAACCTGGACTATGGTCTCCAGCATCCATGTCAGAAAGCACCCATGTGTCAGGGCACATCAGTAATGTTGTCCTGGGAAGATGGAGACAGGCAGATCTGTAGAACTCACCAGCCTAGCCCAGTTGTGAAGTCTAAATTCACTGAGAGATGCTGTCTCAAAAAATAAATCAGGGACAGCCAGTTAGATAGCTCATCCCACAAAGGTACCTTCGTGCAGCCCTACCAACCTGATCCTCCAAGCCCACAAGGTAACAGCAAGAGAGAATCAACCCCTGAAGCTCTTCTTTGACCATCACTAGTGCTGTATGGCACACCTGCACCTGCACTCACACATGTACACAAAATAAATTTCATTTAATTTGAAAAAGAAGGAGGAAGGTTGGGCAGGGTGCTACACACCTTTAACCCTAGCACTCAGAAGGCAGAGGCAGGTGGTATGAATGACAGACACCCAAAAGAACCAAAAACAGGGATACTACACAGACAAACATGTGTGCACATGTTTGCACAGCTTATGTTTGAGCAAAAGGGGAAGCAGCCAGAGTCCATAAATGGTGAACAGGTGACAAAATGTAGCACCTCTGTCCAGTGAGATGTTCTCCATATCACAAAGGAAATTCTGCACCTGGTACTGGATGGATAAACCTTGAGGGTGTTGCGCTTTAGGAGACCCAGGCATCTTTCTGCCTCAACCTCTGAGGGGATGGGATTATCAGTATGAACCATACCTGTTGCTTTTAAACTTTTTCTGTATGAAATGTCTGTTCTAAATAAATTGATTGCCACAGGCCCTGCCACAAAGGAGGCTGGGAGATGGGAAACTAAGCCACACAGGGGTACCCAGAAAGTAGAGGATATAAGGAATTCAGCTGAGACCCCAGAGCAGCATTATAGGAGGCTGCACTGGGGCCAGGCCCGTGGAGTACAACTACACGCATAGCCTTAGAGTAGAACCTCACCACTTCCTCCTTGTTGTTCCCCTGGGCTGGGCCAAACCACATCTGGATGCAGTGACCACTCCCTAGAGTGTAGCTGCTGACCTTGTAGGAATGACACTGGATTTCCTGCGCTGGGCAGAAGGCATAGGGAAGGATAAGTAGAAGGGTGGTGGGTAGCTCCTGTGGGACACCAGCTATGCCCTAAGGTCCTGTTCCAGACCATGTACCAGTTGCTCTTGAAGGTGATGGAGATACAGCAGTCCTCTGACCAGCACTGACAGTTCTTCTGCACAGGGACACATTAAGGATCAGCTCTTTGTACCAGCTCTGCTCTTCTTGCTGATCCAGGATCCCAAGTTAGAGGATCATTCACAGACACAGATGTCTTGGACAAATCATCATTTGCATTTGATGACTTCTCTACACAGGGATCCAGTTAGTTGAATTGGTCTGGGTAGAAAATGTCTTTGTGAGAGTCAACTGGTGTTTGTGGAGAAACACCAGATCTTCCAGGGACTGCGCTGCTCATGTACATAGGCCTTGATTTTCCTTGTGGTGATTAGTGTAAACATTGAGCTCAGTCCTGACCAAAGTAGTCCTGGAATGTACACCCGGTGTGGCCACCGACTCCAGAAAGAGCAGCAACTGTGTTGTCAATGGATAAGATATCATAGCTC